TCGCCCACACCTCCTTCACTTCCATTGCTTCTCTGCGTCTTCTTTGTTCCGCGAAACTTATCCACCACAGCTCCAAAAACGCGGCAACAAACGAAAAAAAACAGAAGCAGCTTGGTACTGCGCTGCTGGAAAAAATCGCCCACAAAATAGGCCTAAGAGCCATCCAGACCAGAGCTCTGATTTCAATATACCGACTCAACAAAACAGATCCAATTATACAAATTTGGTTCAATAAGAGACAAATCAAGTTCAGATCAAGTCATTAAATCATTTTTAGAAGCATTTCAAGGATATTTAAAAGGTTAAACGGATGTTGAATATGACGAGTTTATGGTTGAATCGAGAGTCTCGATAAGACGACTTCAACGAGCTCAAGATCGCTCAATTCCAATATTGTCAAATCACTCAAATTCCCATCAAACACCATCATATCGACAAAATCTCTCCGGGATTCTAAAGAGTCCTACCCCTCCTTGAAAAAAGAAGAGAGCTTGAAGCCTAAAGAGAGGGCTTGAAGCCTAAAGAGAGGACTTGAAGCTTGGAGAACGAACTAAAGTTCAACATCACCTCGTTGTCGCTCACCTCCGACCATCATTGGTCGCCTCCCACTTCTTATGACAAGCTGATTCGCACACCAACGTCGTAACACTAGAGAATTTATAACTCTTTTTTGCTTGTGTGACAAAGGTTATAAGTGTAATCAACAATTTCTAGTAGATCTTGTCAACTGAGTAGGACTTCATGATTTTTTACCTTTCCAAATTTTTCACTTAAAAGTTCTAGTCTCTCCACTTTTTGTTTTCTTTGATAAGAGCATGTACAACGCTAAAAAAAAGATAATGTATTATTCCACCGCACTTTTGAACACCTTATATATATATATATATATATATACATACATACATACATACATATATAATATAATATAATATAATATAAAAGTAATAATAATAAGAGAAAAGAAAAATAATATTATTATTAATAAACATTTATAGAAAATATATAAATAATATAAATAAAAAAATTAATATATATAAAAAATCAAAATTTAAAAGAAAAAAAGGGACATTGACGTACATAGCACACAATTTATGTATTTTCATATCTGACACCAAAACATTCATAATTACTTAACACTAAATCTTTAATATCACAGGAAAAAAAAAAATCCATTACCTCTTTTAAAAGTGAATACACATTTTCATACATTTAAAACACCAAAATGTCAATGAAAGTTTAAATGTGAGATATATAAATACATAAGAATTGTCTGCTAAGTACGTAACTTTCAACAATAACAACAACAGAGCCTTAATCCCACTACGTGGGGTCGGCCACATGAATCCGTTTTATTCATTTGCTAGGTATGTAACTTTCCCACAATTAAAATTAAAAAAAAAAAGGTCAATTATATATAGACCACTCAAAAATATTAATATTTATAAATTAACCACTCATGAGTTTTTTGAACTACCGAACCAATGTATTTACATGTGTTCCAATCAAACTATTAAGAATTTGATAAAA